ATCTGGACCAACAGTGTAGGGTCTTGCCTGTGCAAGGGCAAGGCATATGCTGTACATGCAGAACGTTCTAGGTTACACCCTTGGCCCCTCCAGCTAAAGGGTTTCAGGTAACGGCTCTTGGGAAAGATTGCCCTCTGACTGAGTTGCTGGAAAGCTAATGCCAAAACAGACAGTACTGAACTAGGTGGATGAGGGGGCTGATTTGGTATAAGGAAGGAAATTGATAGGCACAGTGGAGGGCTACTTAATGCTTTGCGTGGGGTTGTGGCTCAATAGTAACGCACACGCTTTATATGTGGAATGTCCCATGTTCAATCCCTGTCATCTCCAAGTAAAGATCTCAGGTGTCCGGGAAGACCCTTCTCTGCTTGAGACCTTGGAAAACTGTTGGCCAGTCAGCGAAGCTGATATTGAGGATGACCAAGTTGTTGTGTTGTTGTTTTTTTAAAGAAGCACTAAATTGTGCACTCCTGTGCAGTTATTCCAGTCTAAACCCACTGATTTAAAGAGATTTAGGACACCTGGGCACATTAATACAAACAAAGCAAGGCTTTACTGGCTCCTATCAGATAAGAATGCAGAGATTACACATTCAGTTGCTGAGTTTTGTGCATTAATTCTTAGATTGCAAGAGTCGCATTTTAAAAGTTCTTAAATTGAGGTTTCTATTTTCATATATTATGAGTGGTTTTTTTTCTCTTCCTCACATATTATGCTTTCTCTGTGGTCTTAAGACCGTAATAATAAACTATACTATACTATAGAGAGACTTAGATTGGAGTAACAATGTACAGGATTGCACTTTTAAGAGCCCCAGATTCTCAGTTCAGGAATTTCAGTCATCTAGATACCAAACTGACCTGAACACCAAGCCCCCCACCACCACCACCCCAACAAGGAAATGCTCTAATTCACAAGAAGAAGGTATCTATGGGCACTTAGGGAGGCTGGACTTGTTCTGAACAATGAGTAAAACTTCACAGTTCTTTTTCAAAAGCACTACAATGAAAAGGAAAAACAACCACTAAAATATAGTCAGCTAGTCACTCAAGTGTTGTTGTTTTTTTAATTTGAAATTAATATTTTACAGCACTCTTTATTTTCCTCTCACTTCTGCTGAAAAACCCTCTATGGCCCCGGTCACACAGGCCGGATATCGCCGGGGGGGGGGGAGGCGTGGCTGTTTGCCCCGCAGCGAAATAATGCACGACTGCGCGATCAGGCGTCCCCTCGTGGTCCCGTCGAGGTCCCGTGGTTAGGGGGGAGGTGCCAATTGCATGACATGCCAAAGAAGTGGCACAGCATGGCAAACGGGGTTGTGGGGTTTTTTTAACCTGATGTGCATGCCCCGTTGGGTGCTTCTGCGCATCCCTGGAGACTTCGGGGGAAAAAACCTTTTCGCAATGGGGCATGGGCGGGCGCCGGATGCCACCGGAAACGCGATCAGACGCCCACCCTTGCCCCGCGGTTTCCGGAAACTAGTACCTCCGAGGTACTAGTTTTTAACCGCACATCTTCGGAGGGAAGCCTCGGGTTCACCACGGGAGCTCTACACTTCCCAGATGTGGCGGTGTGATCGTGCCCGGAAAATCCGCCTATCTTCCGTCGCAGTAGCATGGCTACTGCTCCGTGTGACCGCAGCCTATATATGTTTTTCAGCTTACTGTAGGCCCCGGTCACATGGGCCAGATAACGCGGGGGGTGAGGTGTGGCTGTTCACCCCGGAGCAAAATAAAGCGCGGTAACCCGATCACACGGTCCCCTGAGTCTCCGTGCTTCAGCTGTTAGCTGGCGGATCACACGGTGATGCTGCAGTGTGGCAAAGAAGCGGCGCGGAGCAATCACACAAGCGTTTTGTGTTTGCGCGCATGCGCAGTTCCGTGGAGCAGCACTGCTTTCAGTTTTGTGTTTGTGTGCATGCGTTACGAAAAACATCCGGTTTGCGACGGGACGTGGACGGGCGCCAGATACCACGGGATACTAGCGCTCCCGCGATCAGACGCCCGCCTGTGCCACACGTTTTCCAGATACTAGTGCACTTTCCTTGGTACTTTTTAACTCCACATCTTCGGTGGGATGCCACAGGTGCGCTATGCTTCCCAGATGTTGCAGTGTGATTGCGCCCCGAAAATCCACCCGACATTCGTGCCTTTCACGTGGCAAATTCCCCATGTGACTGGGGCCGTACTCTACCAAAGCTGTAGCCAAGGTGAGTGGTGGATGCATAAGCCTTACCTAGAGAAGTGCTTTGCTATATTTATTTATTTTAGAAAAATACATTTTTTAAAATTTATGTAATTTGCTTTAAAAAAAAAAGTGTACCTTGCTTCTAATGGCACAAAATAGCTTCTAATAAAAACTATAAGAACATTCTCAGAGACAAGAACAGCCTGAGGGGGAGCCAGGGTGTAAGGCTCTGGACTCCATGTTGGCATTGGTTGGTCCACTGGAAGTGGATCTGTTGACACGTGGAACCCACGATGCTATCAGGGCTGCGAGAGAAAAGTAGATGTAGTATAAGTAGTTCCCTCTCCCAGCCTCAGGTGGCAGAGGGGTGGTCTGCACTTGGAGGACTGCCAAAAGGAATCAGTAGGACTGGAGGGCTGGGAAAGCCCCACTATGGCTGGTAGTCATACCTCTACCTCAATGAGTAGGAGAAAGCAGGAACAAGGGCACTGGCAGGAACCAAGGACAGCATCTACTGTACTGTCATGGAGGAGCCAGACTGATTTGAGTTGGACAACTGATGGCTCACCTCAAGGCAACAGCTAGAAGGAAGATCCAGTGTGCCAGGGCAGATACCTGGAACTTACAGTTTCCCAGGGCTGACAATGAGGTGAGCCACAATCTAGGTGAAGGGAAGAGCTAAGACAACCTAGCAGGTCACCAGGCAAGGCATGTGGGAGTGCACGGTGGAACAAAAACAATCATTTCCCAAAATTTCAGCTCAATCAAGAACTGGAAATCTGTATTATCGCACCCCGCCCCTCCAAAAAAACACAGCAAGACAGAACCAGCAGAGCGTACATAATTCATCAGACTAGTGAGGATACCACTGGGAAAGCAATTGGTCTCACTGAGGTGAAGTGAACCTCTGGGAAGGAGACACCCTCCAATAACAATTGATAAGCTAAGCAGAGACAGCCAGTGATCTTTGAGGGGCAAGGTAGTTCTTCAAATATGAGGGTCCCAGGACACAAAGGACTTTAAAATGCTAAGAACAGCATCTTAAATTGTCCCTGACAACAAATCAGCATCCAAGCAATTATTGTAAAATAAGGCTTGTATAGGCACAGCGTCTAACATCAAACAGAAGTTGGTCTGCTGCACTGAGCTGAAGTTTTGAATAGCGCCACTTCAGTTTAAAAAACAGCAGCTAGTCATTTGGTGTGTTTTTTTAAGAATGTGAATATTTCTTGTTAAGAACAAAAGCATCCCTCTTGAACTCCTTCTAATTGTGAGCAGCGCAAACTTATTATTTAACAAGGAAGGTACTCTTTAGGTAAATGCTTCTGAAACTAAAAATCATGGTTTCTGGTGCTAACAATTGATAGATGCTACCACACAGAGACATAAGCTTGATAACACAATTATAGAAGTTCCTGTTGATGATGATGAGGAAATCACAGATTCTCCGTTAATTTCTCTGAAGTGCTACTTGAAAACAGGGCAGCTGGCAAGACTACTGATAGCCTAGCAGTTAACCACTGATCAGAAGCTGCATGCTCCAAAAGGGGTTTATTCAGTTGGAAAGGTCTTGGGTATAGATAATTTCTGCAGTTTCTATATAAAGGATGGTGCCACACAAGTGGCTTAATGCTACATGGGGTTCCTTAAGGTTTAATAATGGTATAGCGGAGAATTTCAGGAGCTGCAGCTCGTCATAGTAACAATGGTGCCAGTGTGACAATAGCTGCAACCTAAGTACAACTCCAAATCTACATCGTTTTTAAGGTATGGAACAGAGATAAGAAAACTCTCTGGACTGGCACTATCTAGAAATCCAGTTTTTTGGAACGTTGACAGAAAAGTCTAAGACAATGCCAAATTTACTTCTGAAAGTCCTCTGAAATCTCAAAAAGACCTTGCCCATTCTCATAGGTTTTTCTGCCAGCATTGATATTGTTCCCATCCTCCCCTTCAAGGCTTCCCTTCATCTTGCAAACTGTAGTTTGCCAGGCCATCAAAGCCATTATTCAGGCCCCAAGAAACTATAATTCCAAGGAATCTTTCTGCCAGAAACTTCCCATTTTGAAGGCTTTGGGATTCTAATGAAGGTCAGAGTAGCAGTACCCTTTCTCTTGGCCCCCCCTCCCCCTAGTCACTGCGACAGGAAATAAATTTTGGGGAAGGAAGGAAATGTGTCGAAGGAGACTTGGAAGGGCCCAAATCATTTGCAAGTTTCCAAATTCAAAAGGATTTTGGTGCGTATCTTACAAGCTTGTTACTTCTGAACCGGGACAGAGGGTTAAGCTTGTTTCCAAACTTCTCCCAATTCTGAAAAACTTGGCTATGTCATGAGCGCAACGAGGCTGCCCCAGAGTTGCCTTTTGTTTGCATTCCAGAGGGATGCAGCACCTTCTATGAGTTAGTGTGTCATCTGAACACACATGATGCAGCAACCCTGTGGTCAGCAACATGGTCAGTGCCTGTGGACAGCCTCCCAAGTGTTGAGGTTCAAGGAGGAAAAGGTGAAGGTAAACACATGTAATATAAATAAAATTAATTATCCTCTCCCTTTGGAATGGAGACATTTAGCTCCATTCTGTTCCATGAGCAGGGACTCAAAATGCTCTCTAAAGACAGACACGTCTGCATCTCTTGTTCCTTCCACTCATCATGAGAACACAGCAGACATCTAAGCATGTCAGTCCAAAGAATGGTTAAAGTGAACTCGGCCTGAGAATGGCAAATCCCACGCCTACTCCGAGCTCTGGCCGAGTAGGAAAGAAAAGAAGCAGAGAGCAAAGCATGCTGGGATGACTCACAGAGGGCCGTACCAAACTGAGAATGTCTGTTCATATCCGCCATCATAGCCAGGCTCCCAGGAGACGTTGGCAGAGGTCATGGAGACTGTGACGCGGACACTGCCTGGGGCGTGGGGGCTTGTGCCTGAAAGGAGGGGAAAACAGACAGCAGAGTCATAAATAAGGATGCACAGAGAGCCCTACAGGCAAAGCAACCAGGATAACCTTTGGTTTTGAACTAATACCACTGTTTGAGGGATGGTCCCCCCCAACCCATACTGGCCTTCTACTTAACTTCAGCTTTTTCCAGGGAACAATTATAAAAATTAACATTAATTCTGGCAACACTGTTAGCAAGAAAGAAAGAAAGCTGGCGTCCTCTGACTGCATCTCTCTTAAAGACACTTCTGATTGCACTGCAGAGTCTGTAGGCAGTACTGCACATCTCTGGGTCAGCTCCAAACATGATGCAAAGCTAGTTCTTGCGGTCTGTGCTGCAGGCTGGTTCAACAGCTCTTGTCACTGTGTTAGTAAGGACTGTGCACTGCATTAGGTCCTGAACCATCAGGATGCTCTTAAATGTGTAAGGTGCTATAAAGTTGCAACTGATTTCTGTAAGGTTTTCAAGGCAAACAGACCGACAGAGATGGTTTGCCATTGCTTGCCTCTGTGTAGCGATCCTGGGCTTCCTTGGTGGCCTGTCATCCAAGTACTAATCAGGGCTGAACCTGCTGACCTTCTGAGATCTGACAACATCAGGCTAGCCTGGATTATCCTGGGCAGAGATAAGAATGAGCCACAGACTGTGATGAGGTATCCTTCAGAGGGGGATTAGAAAAGCTCATGGAAGATAGCCCTTGATGGACCTGTTAGTCATGATAATTAAATGGAATTTCCGTGTTCAGCAGAAGTAATCCTCTGAATGCCAGGTGCTTAGGGACACCAACAGAGGGAGGTTTTGGCCTCTGGGACCTACTTGCGGGCTTCCCAGAAGCATTTGGTTGGCCACTGTGTGAAGCAGGAAGCCAGACTAGATAGACCACTGATGTGATCCAGCACAGCTGCTCTTACAGTCCAAGATAAGGGGAGAGCCTGTATTCAAATAACCAAAAGGTTAATTGGTCTGGGTGTTAAACTCACCTTGTAGAAAAAAAGCAGAGAAAGGGATGGGGCAACAGTGTGTCCAAAGCCTCTGACTTTTCTAGGCCTGCTTGCACAGACACCACAAGTTCACTAACATATAGAGGAGGGAGTGGCATCATGCCAGCTGGCCCTGCCCCCAGCCTCCATGCATTCAGCAGATGGTCTGGACAGAATATACAGGCAGACAAAGATGTGCCCATAAGGCTCTGTATAAGCCTTCAGAGACTCTGCCTTTGGCAGGGCTCCTGATCATGCATAGAAGACTGAAACACAGACATAAGAACATAAGAACATAAGAGAAGCCAATGTTGGATCAGGCCAATGGCCCATCTAGTCCAACACTCTATGTCACACAGTGGCCAAAAATACCAGGTGCCATCAGGAGGTCCAGCAGTGGGGCCAGGACACTAGAAGCTCTTCCATGCATACCATAGGCTCTTCCATACATTTAGCTGAACCTGCAGTGGTCAAGGGCAATGCCACTCTGTCCCATGCTCAACTGAATGTGCGGATACCCCTCATCTCTCCTAACAAGAGTATATGGCTTAATTTTTATAGCAATTGTTTAACTCTGACAAACCGCCTCAAATATCTTTGATGGAGCATGAGGCATGTAAATATTTATTTCGTTAAAATACACATATACCTGCCCCAAAAGGCACTCTCTGAAAGGTGCAGATCTGCGGCACTGAAGGACTCGCTTCCTTCCTGCTCAGTGTGCCCCACTTCCGCATACATTATAAGGCACCAAGAATCTCAAGCAGGACAGCAGCAGTGGGACCAGATGACCTCATCCATCTGCACCAGTGCAGCACTCGTCTGAGGAAGGAGTTACTGGCCTGCTTTCTACAGCACCACCACTGAAGAAGATCAGAAAATGAGACTGAAGACACCAACCCAGCCAAGGTCAAGTGGCACATGACCATTAGGGCTCCCATTCCTCAGTCTGAACAACTGACCTAATCAAGCAGCAGGACTCTACAAAACGGCTCCTTCCCATATCGGCACAGATCCAGAGTCCAGCAGCCTACAAAGGTGCCACATAGCTGACTTCTCCCCTGCAATCCTGGACCTGAAGTTACCGATCAGCCCCCCCAAAAGATAGGTACTGAACTATTAAGGTAATGTCAGAAAGAGCTCTTAAATAGCATTAGGAAGAATACTGGGTTTAAAATCTGGGAGACTGTAAGCTAAATACTGAGTCTGAAAACAACCACCCGTCTAGCTGCACCCTGACAGTGAGGGAAACATGCTCAACCCAGCAAGGAAATAACCCCCCCCCCAATCCATCTTTAGACATGGACAAAATAAAAAAAGGACAGAGATTTAGAGGCAGCATCACTAGAGCATGAAATTAAAAGAAAACGTTGCTCTTCTTCTTGAGAACCATTTCTGACTTGTGCCTTTAGATCTATTGTTTGCCACTATGATAACATACGAGAAATATGATCTTTCCTTGACACTAAAGAGCAGATCATCTTGTTCCTAATTATCCTCACTGTACAGGCCTGGGGGCTCAAGATGAGGATGTCTTCAGCAAAGAAACCCCACAAAAGCTCATAGTCAAAAAGACTGGTCTCTGAAATGTGAAAAATCCATAAAATTTAAGGTGGACAGAGTTGGGAGAATCTCAATAAGCAATCTCCCTACTGTCCATAAAACACAGACTACGGTTTCATGGGAGGCACAATGCAGCCATTTTTGATCTTCTTTACATAAGAACATCAGAGAAGCCAATGCTGGATCAGGCCGATGGCCCATCCAGTCCAACACTTTGTCACACAGTGGCCAAAAATACTGGGTGCCATCAGGAGGTCCAGCAGTGGGGCCAGGACACTAGAAGCCCTCCCACTGTTGCCCCCCCCCAAGCACCAAGAGTACAGTGCATCACTTGCCTCAGCCTGAGAGTTCCTATCTATAACTTGCGGGTAATAGCCACTGATGGACCTCTGCTCCATATGTTTAATTAATTCCCTCTTGAAGCCGTCCATGCTTGTAGCCACCGCCACCTCCTCTTTGTTCAATCTCATTTGCAGCCACATCTTTATTAAAAACCTCATTCATCTTTATTTATAATTAATTATTGTTTAGATTATGATTGTTACAGATTTTGGTTTAATGTTTTTTGGAAATGTTTATTATTGTTATGCCACTTTATGTGTATTGGTGGTACTACACAAATTTATTGGGGAGGTTTAGATATCAATTGTTTCTGTTTGATAATTCTGCATCCTCCGGGGTATTTCTTAGAATATAAGGGTGGGGTAGAAATCAGTTAACTAAATATTTTTCTCTGTTTTCATTATTCAAATGTTGTTCCACTTTGCCAGACCATTCTCATCAACTCTATACTAATTCTCCTCCCATTCTCCCTTACACTATAAAAAGACACTTTATCAGCCACAGCAGAGGAATTCCTCTTGCTAAATCATGATGTCCTCAATGCTTGTATTTTGTCTTCATCTTCTCTGACCTTGCTGTCAAATGCCTCATTCAGTCACCTTGTTCTAGTCTCCACCACTTCTTTGGATTCCAATATAGTTAGCTGACAACTTCTCTTCCTTTCTTTCGGAACAGTGATTTCCCAAGGATGTACAAAGGCTATCTTGCTTCTTTTTGTAAATGTTTCTCTCTTCCAGAACACTTTCTGCAAAACCAGGTATGCAAATTTTGCACTGGTGAGATTTCTGTGACTCCTAAATCACTACAGTTGCCAATTCCAAAGCACAGCACTGCTAATCATGAGCTAACGGTTTCTCACAAGTCATGCTGAATCACTGTTGAACAACCAGCTTCACTGCACAAGATCTTGTGCTTTCTTTTTTTAGTACATAGGGGTATTTGCAAACTTAATGCATGTTAAGTCCCTTTATTTCAGTAACAGTCTTTTCGCTTTAGGAGGAAAACAAATCACAGGTATTTGCAGTATCCTTAATAGCCAAGATGCTGGAAATGCCAACAAACCTTTCAAACTGTTCCATACCTACCGATGACTGTCAGATGAGTGCTAGCGGTAATGCTTGCGACTATGTTGGTAGCGACACATTCCCACTCTCCGTGGTCCTCCTTACTGAGAGATCGGAATTGCAGGCTGCCACTTGGAAGGGTGTTGTGCTTGCTTCTACTAGGCTTCCCTACCTTGGTCAAACAAAAGAGAAAGCACAGGGAAAGGAAGGGGGGAAAAACACAACTCAGAGGCATGTTGCAAGAGCACAGCCACAGGGTGACACACTCTAGAGATATTCCAGACCCTCCCTGCTGGGGCCACGTTGAGGAATCTAACAAAGGGTGACGCAAAATTGGTGACCCCGAGAGTCCAGCCATGGCCGCTTCCCCAGAGGTAGTCTGGATGGGTAAGGCAGGTGTGGAGAAAGTAGCAAGGAGCAGAACTGGTAGGCCAGAGAAACAAGAAAAGACCTGCAGAACAAAGTGTAGCAGAAACAAGCAAAGGGAGAGCAAGGGATGGAATCTGTGAGCTGCACACAGAAGTGCCTTATTGCGCAGATAAAGTCTGCAAACAGGAAGAGGAAGTTGTAAAAAGACAGGGAAGGGTGGGAGCCAATCACAACGTGAAAGGGATGGACAAGATAAAAAGCCCCTTAGTCTACGGGGCCTAAGGAAGCCTATGGCCATTAACATTAAAAAAGCAAAACCTGGACTCCTTGTGATATACTAAAGTGTGTTAAAACTTGCAAAGCCAGAATACATACTCAGGAGGGCTAAAGATTTAGGGCATAATCAGTTAGTCCAAATGATCCTTGGAATGCATTATTGCTTAAAAGCCTTAGAAGTGCTCTGCAGGGTCAGACCAAGGTCAACATGGTCCTGCATTCTTTGCAAAAATCCCAGCAAGCAAAAAGTGCCAGGTCTACATAAGAACATAGAACATAAGAGAAGTCAATGTTGGGTCAGGCCAATGGCCCATCCAGTCCAACATTCTGTCACACAGTGGCCAAAAATACCAGGTGCCATCAGGAGGTCCAGCAGTGGGGCCAGGACACTAGAAGCCCTCTACAGGAATGAGCCAGTGGTTCACTTGTGAAAAGCAGTCTTCCTTCCGCACACTCCAGCCTATGGTTTTCCAAAAGAGATGCAGAGCCCCCCCCCCCCGGCTCCAGTCCAATTGGGTTCCTAAAAGATCTGCAATCTGTGTGCAGAGGCAATTGATACTACTACTTAATAACAACAACTACTATTTAATGGCAAAGGGTGAGCATTCTCCAACATATATGTGAAGATTCAGGAAAACGCTTAGACCTTCAGGTGTACTGATTTTTTCAGATAAATGTGCCAGTAAGAGTAGAGTAAGCATTTGTTGCAATACCAGCAAATAGGGAAGAAATACCACTAATACCAGAACCAATTTCTGTCAGTGTACAAAGCCTTTAAAATTCTGCAGAACTCTTCATGAGACAGAAACTAGGTGAAGAGTCCTGTGTAACCTGAAAGACTGCATATTGACACCAGCAGGAAATGCCACAACAAAAGGTATAAACCTAATAAGAAGGATGAATGCCCTTGAAAAATTCAAGGGCATGCCCTTGAAAAATTGATCTTATATGACAAGTATAATTTACACATATCAATTACTCAATTCCTTAAGCCTTCACCATCAGAGAGTTGACAACTAGTCTGGGACCTGAAACACCTAAGGCACACATCATTAAATGCTTCTCTGCACAATACATTTTATGACTCCCAGCCCCAGAAATCCTGAGAATTGCAGTGCTGTGAAAGGGTTAAGAATCTCCAACGAACGATTTTAAGTTCACAAAACTACAATTACTAGGGCTCTTTTTAAAAGGGGTGTGGCAGCCATGATGGATGATTTAATTTCTCTTTCAGTAGAGGAGTTTTTAAATTAACAAACTGTGGCACAGATATTGCTTTCAGCCGCTAGATGGAAGTATGGTCCCATGAATTTTGTCTGCAATTGCCATGACATCACTCTGGCTGCATGATGAGGCAATCACCCAGGGCTTCTTTGGGGATTCAGGTTTTTCCATTCTACTAGATGATCCTGCACAGGGCTGCCAGTTGCTTGGGACAGTATTTTTCTGTAGCAGCAGATGAAGCATTTTTTTTTTAAATCCCCTTTCCCTTTTGCACTATGGCAAATAAAAAGAAGAAAGGACAGATGTTATGAGAGATGTATGGATGGAGTAAGCTAGTAGGCAAGGGATCCCAGAGGACTTGGGTAAAAGAGGAGTCCTGCAGGCCCAGGGCTAGATACAGTGTATGACTGGATTCTGGAGAGGATAGACGACTGGGGATCCTGGAGGGGATCAAGGGAGCAAAGCAAGCTGGGGACCACAGCAGGCAGTGAACACAGCTGTGGGAAAGATGTGTGTATAGCAGAGAGGGAATATGCCTCAACAGGACATGAAAGCAGTCATTGGCCCCGTTCATACGCAGCGATTTGGGCCAGTTGCGGGCCAGTTTGGGGGCGGATCAAAGCAGCGCGATCACACCACAACATCTGGGAAGCGTTCTGCTTCCGCCCCCAAACTGGCCCTTTCCGAGAAAACGCGCCTCAAGTTGACACCACCTACCTCGGTGGTTCAACTCCTTGGCGCGCTTCAGGCCGGGCGTTTGATCGCCAGCGCTCCCTTGCGCCGGCTCAACCCCGGCCTGGAGCCGAACTGCGCATGCTCGGGCATGCGCAGTTCAGCCGGCTCCCGTTCGGGACGTGTTTTCTCCCCGGCGTTTGATCGCGCCGGGGAGAAAAGGCGGCGCGGCCGGGGGATCTGTGTGATCCCGCCGCGCCGTGTCAACGTTGGCGCGGCTTTTAAAAGCCGCGCTTTAAAGAGGCTTTTCCCTGCCGTGTGGCAGGGGCCATTACGACTCAAGCTCAAAGCTTGTCCTGACCAGGGGCAGGGGGGATATCAGGTAAGGATACCAATTTGATGCCATCACCTAGCTGTGGTCAAAGAAAATAAATATAGGGAAATCAGTTAGATTAAGAAGCCTCTTTAGGCTGATACATTAGAACAGCTCATGTGATAGTGCCTGGCTCCTGTAAGGACTTCTGCTTTCTCCCTGGAATGAGCCAGGAGCCTCAGGCCTGATTTACACATGCCACCAAATAAGCTGAAAATGAAGGGGTAGAATGAACTGTCCCCAGTTCAGACTGCCAGTGGTGGATTTCAGTTCTGAACATCCTTTTTCATAAAAATCCCCATGCCAAACAGAAATCTAGGCGATCAAGGTTTTGCCTCCCCTCGTTGCTCACTGTGCTGGTTTTCCGCCTGCAGAGAGGCATTAAACACCTCCCCATGCCAACTTAATGTCTGAACAGGTGCAATAACAGAGGGGCAGTCTCACTATGGTAAGGAAGGTCCCATGAATGGAAATTCTGGAAATGCCAGGCCCCTGAGGATTCCTGATTTCAGTCTCACACTTGAGAACCAGCATGGTATAATAGACAGTCAGTAGCTGGCAAATAGAAGGGGAAGCCGTGGAAGTAGTGACAGACTTCACGTTCCTGGGATCCCAGATCACCGCAGACTGTGACTGCAGCCATGAAATTAAAAGACGCCTGCTCCTTGGGAGGAAAGTGATGGCGAACCTAAACAGCATGAGAAAAAGTAGATTCATCACCCTGCCAACAAAACTCCGCATGGTCAAAGCAATGGTATTCCCAGTAGTCATGTATGGCTGCGAGAGTTGGACTATAAGGAAGGCCAAGCGCCGAAGAATAGATGCTTTTGAACTATGGTGCTGGAGGAGACTCTTGAGAGTCCCTTGGACTGCAAGAAGATCAAATCAGTCAATCCTAAAAGAAATCAACCCTGACTGTTCCCTGGAAGGCCAGATAATGAAACTGAAGCTCAAATACTTTGGCCACCCAATGAGAAGGGGGCACTCACTGGAGAAGACCCTGATGCTGGGAAAGATTGAAGGTCAAAGAAGACGGGGACGGCAAAGGATGAGATGGTTAGACAGTGTCATCGATGCAACGAACATGAAGTTGAGCCAACTTCAGAGGACGGCGGAAGACCGGAAGGCCTGGCGAGAGTTCGTCCATGGGGTCGCGAAGAGTCGGACTCGACTGTGCGACTGAACAACAACAACAGCTGAATTTGGCCCTGGAAACATGAGTTCAAACTCTGGCTTGACCACAAAGCTCACTGGCAACCTTTGGTCTAAATATTAGGTCATCCAGCCAAGCCTCTCTCCCAGGGTAGATAAAATAAAGGGAGATCCAATGTATGAGCTCCCAAGAGAGTTGTCAGATTATAAATCTAATAAATGCATTACATTATTTGGGTAATCCACAGTTGCTAAAATGTGTTGACTGCTGCAGATGAAAGGGTACACAGTTACCAGATAGCATTTAACTGCTACCATCATTAGTATTTGCCAAGCGGGATGGATGTAAACATCGCCACTAAGAAAGGGCCACCCCACGAGAACACTGCAAGTTTCCCCACTGTTGCTAGAAGTGGCATGCAGAGAAACACAAGCAGAGTGATTGCGTCCCAGCAAAGCAGGAAAAGTAGTCTATAACAGAGGAACCAAACAGAAGTCTTCTGCCACATTAAAGACAAACACATTTTTATTTCACCATAAACTTTCAGGGACTAGAGCACACCTTTTCGGATGATCAAGGGGCACTTTCCACATGAGGAAAGTGAGACTTTAGAGTTCAGGAAAAAAATATCTGGAAAGAGGGGACAGATGTTTTTAATGGTCTGGAGAAAGTGAATAGAAAGAACTTTTTCAACTGATAAGTAGTAGATTTAAACAAAGGAAAATACTCTTTCATACAATGGAATTACTTCTGGAACTCATTTATGCAATGGCCACTGGCTTAGATAACTTTAAAATATCTTAGAAAAAATTATGGAAGAGTGGTTCATCAATGGTGATCAGTCATGGTTACATGGAACCTCCACACTCAGAGGCAGCATACCTTGGAATACCAGTTGCTGGATATTACATAGTGTGGGTGAGGGCTGTTGCCTTCATACCCTGCTTGTGTGCTTTCCAGGATTATTTGAGTGACTACTGTAGGAAAGGATTCTGGACTAGATGGATCTTTGGTCTGACCCAACAGGACTCTTTTATGCTCTATGATGGGGAAACACAAACCATGACAGTGGGACACAGGAAGGTAAGTTCACGAAGACACCATGGAGGGGGAGGAAAAGACTTTGAAGCCCCTCCCCTCAATTAACAATGATCTCCTGCTTTAGTAACACATCATAGTCTGCATACCAAAAAAAATCAATGGACTTCACTATCTCAGCATTCTTTTACAAAAAAAAGTTAGTCGGTCCTGCACACTGAGCAGGTGGTGACGGAAGCAGTGGGGAAAGAAGCCTGAGAGGGGAAGGGCCTGCAGTCGATACTGGCACAGAGCGGCAAGACAAGGGGGTGGGGAGCGGCTCATTTTGCAGATGCTGCTGCTAAGGGTTTTGCCGTTCTAATGCTTTCTTGCAAGGAGCTGGCTTTCCCCCACCCACCTGCGGGACGGGGCGGCAGTGGTACAGCCCGAAGCAAAGCAGCTGCACCTGCAATTTGCTCTTACCGGGACAGAGTGTGGCTTCTCTGTCTGCAATATTCATCAAAAGCCAAAGGCACTGCAGATTTTTCTGGCAGGCCGGGTACCTTTCTCCAGGCGATGACAGGAAAAGGGTCTCCTGCAGCAGCACAGGGTATCAACAGCTCCCTCCCTGCCTCTTGTCTGTATTCCCAGCCTGGTAGCACCGTGAAATAGGGCGGGTCCTGCAGCATGGATGGTGGGAGAAGAGAAGGGGGGGGAATAGATCCATCAAGCTATTCTCAGCCAGCCTGCAACCAAATGGGCTCTGAACAGGGCTGCTGACTGATTAGGGAACTTTTAGCCAATTAAACATCTAGTTTTCAGTGCAGTCATTAACAGATGACACTTTAAATGCATACAAGTATCTTCCTGCAAATTCACAAACATTATGTGAGATATTTTCTTCGAATCCAGTTCCCCTTCACCATCTCACAGACACTTGCTCGCATGAACTTGCTTACATACCACAACTTGCACAACACTCTCAGACATTATTGGTATTTTTTTGTATTTCTTTGTATGTGCATGTGTGAGTGTGTGCGCGTGTTTGCACCTGGAAGTCATGGTGACCTCTGGTGACTGACCCCTACTGGGGGCCTGGAGAATATTCAGAGAGATGGCTGAATAAAGCCTGCCCCCACCTCCCACCTCTGGTATTCCAAGGAGGTCTCCCATCCAAGTACTTGCCAGAGTCGACCCTGTTTAGCTTCTGAGGTCTGATGAGATCAGGCTTGCCTGGCCTATCCAGGTCAGGGCCACTCTCAGACATTATTATAAAGGGAACAGAGCTGCAGTAAAACGGAATTGTTCAGAAGGACAAAGGGACAAAAGCTGTAGTTCATGGCTTTCTTGTATGCACTTCTAGTTTTTACTGCATTGTTTCCTAATTCCTGTAATCCATTTTTTTGCATTATTGCATAATTTTCTAACTTTCTATTCCTGTCTTATTACTAAGTTTATTGTGTATCTCATACTGTTTCTATTGTATAAAAATCACAGAATCATAAAATCTCACAGAGTTGGAAGGGGCCATCTAGTCCAGCCTCCTGCTCAGTGCAGGATCAGCCTAGAGCAGGGGTGTCAAACATAAGGCCCGAGGGCTGGAACTGGACCGTCCAGGGCTCTTATGCGGTCAGCGGGCAACTAGTGCAAGGGAGGGAACAGGAGACTGCTCAGGGGGAAGTGGGCAGAGCCACTCCAATTGTGGATTCAGCATGGCGGAACAACCTCGTCTACAACAGACAAGAAGTGTGGGAGCATCTGCCCAGTGCTACACCACTGGCTCTCCAGTCCGCCCATATGGGTTTTCCTTCACACACCCCTCCCAGCCCATGAGGCCTTGCAGTGAGGATACAACAACTTGGAGTTTACCAGCTACTGTCCTTTATACAGTATATATCTCTGGTACCTGGCATTACGTTTTATGGCACACATGATCTGACCCAACAAAGTGACATTTATGTCAGATCCGGCCCTTGTAATAAATGAGTTCGACAGCTCTGGCCCAGAGCATCCCTGACAAGTGTTTGTCCAGCTGCTGCTTAAAGACTGACAGAGAGGGGGAGTTCACCACCTCCCTAGGCAGCTGATTCCACTGTCACACAACTCTTACTGTCAAATAGTTTTTCCTGATATCCAGCTGGTACCTTTCCGCCCTTAATTTAAACCCATTCTTGTGAGTCCTATCCTCTGCTGCCAAGAGGAACAGCTTCCTGCCCGCCCTTAATTTAAACCCATTCTTGTGAGTCCTATCCTCTGCTGCCAAGAGGAACAGTTCTATCCTCTGCTGCCAAGAGGAACAGCTCCCTGCCCTCCTCTCAGTGCTCTTTTCCAGACTGAACATTCCCAAGTCCCTCAGCCTTTCCTCGTAGGGCTTGGTCTCCAGGCCCCTGCATCCTCTTCCTACTGCACTGCTTGAATCTCAGCAAGGAAGGCAGGCTAGAAAGTAGATAAATATATAAAGAAATACATGCATGCCCCATTTTCAACATTCGACCAAGATGACAGTGGTTCTAATTACAGCCATCTCCACTGAATATATCCCCCAATGACTGCACACAGTCCCTCCTCTTGCTAGACATTTTTATTGCCTTTTTATGCTTTTCAGAATTTGGGATGCTTACCTCAGCAGCAGAGCCAATTAGCTAGAAAGGACACAAATCCATCAAATGAAATCAGAGCACTCAGAACCAATGGCTATGGAGGTTCCCATAAACCAGTATTTTCTGCAAGTTCTGCTTTTTCTTCTTATTTATGTATTTATTTATTTATTGCATTTATATCCCGCCGTATCCCATGATGGGCTCAGGGGGGCTCACAACAGAGATAAAACAATAGATATACAATTAAAACCAATTAATAAAAACAAGATGACAGCAAAAAATAACATCAGCCCAGGGCAGCCTAACATACTTCCGGTTAGGTGTCAGTAGGATAGTAGGCATCTGTAGACAGGGGAGGCCAAGATGGTAAAAACATTTGCCACCTCAACCAAAGGCCTGGCGGAACAGCTCCACTTTACAGGCCCTGTGGAACTGTAGCAAGTCCCACAGACCCTGATCTCAGTTGGGAGCATGTTCCACCAGGTGTGGGCCAAGAAGAAGAAGAGAGTGGATTTATCCTAAAAAGGTCAACGCTTGGATCCCAACCAACTGCAGCTGCACGTTGGGTTCAACAAGTGCCGAAAACACCATAGAGCACACAGCATCTTTAGAGCAAAGCAGGGGACTCTTATCTTCTTCCTCATGACCCCACTTTTGCCGCAGCTCCAGGAAACCAAGCAGCACCTCCAAGATTGTCCTATGCTGGCTACTCATGCACTTGCTTCCTTGCCCACCCCAGTGGTGATCCCCTACAAGCCACGGGTGATCCGGGCACTGGCTAAACCTTTGGATGACAAGAAGCGGCTGGTACGGAAAGAAGCTGTGACAGCACGAGGAGAATGGTTTCTTCTCGGGACCCCTGGCAGGTGAAGGCTTGCACTGCCGATCCTGACTGACAATCTGACCTGTCCCCTCTCCCTCTGTTAAGGCATTGGCTTTGATGGCAGTGGGGGGGGCTAGCTTTCTCTGCAAAGCAGCGAAACCTCTTAAGGAGGAAGACTCTCCCTTTTGTGGCCTGGCAGAGTATGAATTGCAACATGCGCGTCCAGTAGGATGGAGCAGCTAGCCACAGTTCCTGCTGCAGGGCAGTAGTATGCGGAGGCACAAAGACCCAACAGGGTGCAGTGTGTGGGGGGCCAGAAGAATAAATACACCTGTTTGCTAAAAAAAAAAAAAGAGAGTGGATTTATACCCCACCCTTCACTACCCAAAGGTGTCTCAGAGAGGCTTACAAACTCCTTTCCCTTCCCCTCCCCACAACAGACACCCTGTGAGGTAGGTGGGGCTGAGAGAGCTCTTGACAGAAACTGCTCTTTTTCAAGAACAGCTGTGCCAGAACTATGGCTTGCCCAAGGTCATCCAGCAGCTGGAAGTGGAGGAGTGGGGAATCAAACCCGGTTCTCCCAGATTAGAGGCCACACACTTAACCACTACACCAAACTGGCCAAGGCAGAGAAGGCCCTAGCCCTGGTTGAGGCTAAGCGGACGTCCTAAGGGCCAGGGACTACTAGTAGGTGTTGTTCAGTGGAGCACAAGGCTCTCTAGAGCATATATGGGGAGAGACAGCCCCAAAGGTATGCTGGTCCCCGGCCGCGTAGGGCTTTAAGTTGAGTTGATCTGATTTGAGAACCAAAGATATACACTATATCCCTGGGACTCCTCGCAATACGTAAGCCTTTCTGCCTTAGCAACTGACACTTCGCTGAAAGTTCCATATGAGATTTATATGCTGTTTCTAAGATGTTCAGAATAGCCATACATCAGTAGGTGAGATACCTTCAGTACCAGTCGGGCAGGGGGGGACTGGCCCATTGTACCCAGGGCATTATAAGGCACGCAGGTGTATGTGCCGAGAGCTTCTTCTGTTGCCTCTTCTATTCGAATTGAACCATCTTCCATCAGGCTCCAGCCAGAAAACTGCAAAAGCAAGAGAGGAGATGAGAGACAAGGCTTGCCAATCCCAGGTCCTGGAGATTTAGGGATGCCACCTCAAAAGGGAAGGATTTGGATAGGGGAAGGTCCTTAGCAGGGTATAATGCCATACAGTCTACTTTCCAAAGTAGACATTTTCTCCAAGGAACTGGAGAAAATTGTAATTCTGGGGATCTCCAGGCCCCATCTGGAGATTAGTAACCCTAGATTAAAGCACGGGATTTCTTTGTATAATTTCCCCACTGGGGCCCTCACAAAGCTGCTATTTCCAAGTCTGGAGAAACGTAAGGCGCTCTGTATGTCACCTGTATCTTTCAAGTAGCAGCTCATCAAGGCCTGCTCCAGATTGGGGAAACAGTGCAGAAGGGAATGGTTAAACCATGGCCCCAGTCTGAACTGGATCCATAATCAGCTGTGATTTACCAAGAAAAAACGAATGGGGGCTCCAAACCCAGAATCTCCCAGAGGATTGTCTAATTTGGCCCTTCGAACAACAAGTGTATTTGTGCCAAAGTCTGCAGTATCCTTGCTCTGGATCGTGTGCATGTACTGGATAGTACAGCAGTTGTTGTGTGGGCCAGACTATATGGACTGATGGGGATCTGTGATGAGATCCTGAGGCACCACTAATTTGCCTGGCCCAACTGTCTTCTTTTCTGACTGGGCTGCCAGGAGAGTTCTGATGCTGCCAAGGCAATTAAAGGTCCAGTGATGTCTCAGTTTTTTCCCCAATCAGTGGAAATACTTGACTGTCTGGGTCAATACTGGACAACTGGCAACCCTGTGAGAGACACCATACTTCTAGGATGAGCTTCACATGTTCAATATACATAGCTGCCTTCCCCCCTCCCCCCCGGCTAATTACCTGATTTAGCTGCAGGCGTCTGTTTAAATGACTGTTTTTCTGGCCTGGAGTTTTTAATGTGCCTTTGTTTCTCCCCTTGCCATCAACTCGCATCGCAAATATACTTTCTTGTAATACAGTTAATAGGTCAAAAGATGCTGCACAGTTCTGTTTGTACAGCAAACACTATAGCTGCACCTATTGTCTAAGGGAAGGATTATGCATAGTTCCATGCTTTCCATGACACGGCTGCTTTTATTTTGTACAGAGAGAGAGAGAGAGATGATAAGCCGCTACGTCTGCAGTTTTAAACATAAGACCAGTCAATAGGATGGTGTTTTCTTAATTTTTCTCTTTTTGCGGTTTTCTGCTGAAAATCACCCTACCCCACTGCTTTTACTTTGTAAGGGAAGACATTTAGAAGAAAAACAAGAATTACCTTGAAGTATGGTAGGAGGCATTATCCCCAGCATGGGTTTCAGTACAAGAATGATCAATGGTCCCTGTGAAATACTTACAAAGAAATCCCATACAGATCTCTCCCTGTATAAACTTGCCTTACTGCCAAGGCATGAGTGAGCAGCAGATACTGAATCTGGGACAGAAGAGATATAAGGTGGAGAGACAAGCAATGTGCCCTGACCCTGATCCCACTAAAAGAGGAAACTTATGGTAGAAACCAGACATATCAGCAGAGAAGTCCCTTGCTTTTAATAGCAATTGACTGAAACACTCCCCCTATACATACTTCCAGATCAGGCTGTTTCAGTGGTCTGAATCACAAAGGGATTCTGCAGTTGTGTTTCCTTTAATGTACCACTTTTGTCTCTCTCTTGTCCCCAACTCAAGAGGACCTGTATCTGAAAATTAGCCACAACTTCCTAACAAAACACATCAGATAATAGGGACAAGGTTTCTCAACCCAAACTGAGACCAGAAACTCAGATATCCGTATTTATTATTTTCACAGTGGAACACATCATATTTAACCAAGTTCGGGTTCCCAGATCAGTATAGATATCCTCTGTGTTCATGTTCAGAGACTATGGACACAATGAGGGGTTCCATCACACAACAAGAGTTTGAATACTCAAAGCAAAGCCTAGGAATGCCCTCCAAATGCACGAGGCTTCTCTATGCATTCCTGAAACAAACTACAGAATCCACTCCAGTTTGTGGCAGAATGGAACCAACCTATTCTAGAATCCACCAAAACCTTCAGGAGCTTACAAAAGCTTTTTGAGTCATCCCTGATTGGAAATGCTGCAACTGTTCCCCCAAATCTATATTCCATCTTTGTTTTATGGGTGACCTTGGATTGCTAGGTGACCTTGGGTCAGTCACACACTCTCAGCCGAACCTATCTCACAGGGTTGTTTTGAGGATAAAATTGAGGTGTGAATGATATAAGCAACTTTGGGTCCCCACTGAGGGAAAAGGTGTTGTATAAATGAAGTTAAGTAAGTAAATTCTTATGAGTTTTTATTCTACCTCAGTTTTGTCACTGTCATTGATGATTGTTTTGTTTTTTATATGCCATGTTCATGTCATTTTTACACACAAACACCACAAAAATGCATTCATTTTAACAGGGAAGATTCAGCATAGGGTAAGAGAAACTGTTGCAAAAATAAAGAATCGTGGTCTGTTTCTCTCAAGGGATAAGCAAAATTGAAAACAAGGCTATATTCATTGACCCAACAGGCTTGCAAAATCTGGTCTTGTCCCTACTTTTTTGTCAAGATGAAAAGCTATAGGCAGCAAAGCCAAAAATGCTGTGAAGTACCAAACAGAATGGAAATTTCCTGCAAAACACAAAATTCCTTGTCAACATTTTGGACTGCATTTGTAATCCTTTCATTGCTGTCAGCTGGGAGATGGTCAGTTATCATAACTGGCCTACTTGGATGGCACAGATGTATTGCTTCATGGAAACATTTTGACACAGAGCCCTGCTAACGAGATGTGGACAATTTCTCCTCTTGGCATTGGTTTGAATCTAGCTCAGGTCAGTAGCACTCAACAGCCACAGCTATTGAACGGCCATATGTGGGCTTATGTAAAAGCAAGGACCTCCAATTAGTTCCATTATCATTACAGCTGGAATGAAGACTTGTTGAAAAGCAAATCGAAGTATCGGCCCTGGTTGCAGCCTACTAGAGCTCACCTCAAAGTAAGCAGTTCTCCCAAACAGTCTCCATGTTCTTTTCCCCTTAGTTAAGTGCCAGCCCCACACCAGGAAAGCTGCCTATGCTAAATCAGGTCAAGGGTCTAAGTTTCCACCAAGTGTTCAAATACTTTTAAAAGACAGGAGAGGTGGAGACACTGTTGACAGTAATCCTTGTCTTTCTAAATTTTGATATAACATTAAAACAAACTGAACTAGACAAGGTATACATTTTATTTCTTATTTTTTTTAATCATGCCTCCTTTCCAGGAAGCTCCATGAGGTGGCTTACAAAATAAAAATAATAAAAACAACACATTAAAAGATATTGATTAAAATCTCGATTAAAAGTGTTTTGGCCTGGAGCCTAAAAGAAAGTAACACAGATGCCAAGCTAGCTTCAAGGGGAAGGGCCTTCCATGATCGACTTCCCACAACTGAAAAAGCCCTGACCTTGGGCCAGTCATGTGCTCTTGGCCTGACCTACCCATGGGGTGGTTGTGCAGATCAAATGGAAGTGATCAGAACAATGCAAGACCTTTTGAGTACCCATTTTGGGGGGGAGAGACAGAAAGAAAGACCACCAGATGGGAAAAAAATTATAGGTGGAAGTCTCCTTGGAGCAGCAATGCCATCATTGGAGTCAGGAAAGGGGAAAAGAGACCAAAGTAAGAACAAAGGGCTCCATTTGTTGCAACCCTAGGCAGAGCTATCCCAGTCTAAATCCACTGATTTCAACTGGCTTAGAGCAGAGTAACTCTGCACAGGATCCTCTCTGTTAAGTAATCTGTGGACATCACTGCAGTACAATCCTGAACACATTTACTCAGAAGCAAGCCCCACAGCCACAGTGCTGTTTGCTCTTGTGTAAATATTTATCACAATTCCCTTGTATAGATCTATGGTACAGCTGCATTTCTGAGAACAGGAAGGACTTATTTACTCAAAGAGTAATTAATTTGTGCAACTGACTGCCACTAGGTCTACTGATAAACACTAAAAGGGAGATTTGGCAGACTCATGGAAGACAATTCCATCAAAGCCACAATGACTAATTGGAAGCTCCCAGTCCAAAGACAGCAACCCTCTGAATACTAGTGAAGGGAGGGGTAACTACAGGAGGAGGCCTGGCTGCTACACTCTCCTTGTAGACCACCTGGAAGCACCTTGTTGGCCACTGAAATGGAAAATTGTACTAGACTGAACACAGGTCTCATTCAGCATGGCTGCTCTTATGTTCATATGTACAGGGTTGCAGCCTTAGGTTCAGTCAACGTCCATTGCTATAGTGGCAGCCAGTGTTCCCTCTAAGCCGAGTTAGTGTGAGCTAGCTCACAGTTTTTTAGCCCCTGGCTCACACATTTTTGTCTTAGTTCAGGAAGGCTGGCTCCAGAGCAAACTAATCTATGCAGCAGCCAACTAATCTATGCAGCAGCAAACTAATCTATGCAGCAGCTCACAACTTTAATGCAAGTAGCTCACAAAGTAGAATTTTTGCTCACAAGACTCAACAGCTTAGAGGGAGCACTGGTGGCAGCTTTAGCCATGTGCTTAAATTCCACCCATGGAGATCAACAGGGTTTCAAAGTGCTCAGCCTTGGCTGGGGATCGTGCCCATGATTAGCACTACCACCGCCACTGAAGTCAAAAGCCACACTGCTACACAAATCCAATTTGAAACACTCAGAATATAATCTTATAGTTGTTAATATTTAAAGCAAACTCTAAATATTGAGTATTCCCCTTAAATATTTAACAGTATGAAGTCTTTGCTAGGATTTTAAAACCAAGGGAATAGCAGGACCGAGTCTTGTTAAAGAGGATCTTTTAAACACCAGATTCCCATATATAGCAACAACTGCAGGATGACACTTTATGGCTCCATTGGTGTTAGATTAATGATGCTTATCTCCCACAGTGACAGGAGAAATGAACTCCCTATAAGGCCTTAGATGGGAAGATTGCTGTTGATTAAACTGAAGAATGGGGAGGAGGCACACTGGGCTGTTCTTTAACACCAAGAGAGTATCCCTGTGGTGAGCAGAGCTTATTTATTTATTTGAAAAATATCTACCCTGCACTTCCAGGAAACACAATCTCAGAGACCCAGTGTGGTGTAGCTGTTGGAGTCTCAGACTACAACCACAGAGGACCTGCCACAAAAGCTCACTGGGCCAGTTTCTCTCTCTCTCTCTCATTCTAACCTATCTCAGGGGGCTCTTGTGAAAATAACAGAGGGTGGAGAGGACTATGTCCATCACCTGAAACTCCTAGGAAGAAGGGTGAGATAAAAGTCTAATAAGCAATTATTAGGTTGCGGTCACATGTGCCAGTTGAAGCGGAGGGGTAGCGAGGCTACTCCCTCTGGAGGAATTTGACACGCAGTTGTGAGATGCAACTGCAGGTGAGTCAGGGTTTTTTTGCCGTTTATTTCCCTTGCACATAAAGAATCACACCTCCGCACTGAGGGCCCCCTATGGAGTATGCGATGATGCACATACTGCAAAGGGGGGGGGGAAGAATGGCACTGAGCTGGGATGGCCTAATCAGACCATCCCGACAGCATGCACGCATGCTTGTGTGATCAGACAGGGGAAAGTGTGTCCGTGGCCCATCGGAACCCATTTACTATCAGAATTTCCCCAGTGTCTTTTTACTCTGATTCCATAGCGGAGCAGCACAGTTTGCCGACAACTTCGGGACACTTCCCAGATGTTGCTGTCTGATCGCACCCTTTAGATCCACCAGGCATTCGTGCCTGGCTCGTGTGATCGCAGCCTTAATAATAAAAATGCACTAGGTAGATATCTGAATTTTAGTAACCTTACCTTTGTTCCAGGGCAGCCCACTTTGACCTCAAGACAACCCCGTGAGGTAGGCTGGACTGAGAGAGTGTGACTGGCCCAAGAACACTCAGTGAGCTTCACTGCAGAGTGGGGATCTGAACCAGAGTCTCCTTGGTTCTTGGCTGATGCTCTAACCACTACACCATACTAGACCTCAAAGGCAGCTATGGAAGGGAGTACCTAGACCTAATTCAAGGGTGTGGTCATGTGACGGGAAATGATGTGGCTTTAAGTCATCATAATTAACACATTCAGAGTCTTTAAAAAAGAAAGAACCCCCTCCTAATGACTTCCTTTACCTTTTCGACGTGCAGAGGGCGTCCATCTTTGTTCCACTTGACCAGGGTTACCGGTGGCTCTGCCTCAACTGGACAGCGAATGTATCCATGTATCCCAACAGGAACGTATATGATGGGTGGCATGTTCACCACACGGGCAGGATCTGGAACAGAGAAACAGCACATTTAGAATTTCAAGTCTGACCGCTCTTTTAGCTGCCAGCTAAGCATACCCACGTGGCCTTCTTTCCATTGCATCCAGCTGGAAAGGGGGTTAGTAATGTTTTCATCATACCCCCAAATGCTAATTCAGTAACATTCACAACTCCCTGGCCTCCAAAGACCATTATCCTTGCGTTCATTATCTCCTTCAGATCCATTAGAGCAACACTTAGCATGTACATGGGGGCTTTAGTTATTGAAAACGTTTTATCTCGATCTATGCTAAGCTCCAGGAACACATTTTTTCCCCAAGACCAGCAAGTGCATGTACAACTCAATTTTTTCTCTCCGTTATCAACAACAACAAATGCTTGCTTTTATTTCTGAAAAGGAGAAATTCTTCCCACTCAACAGTTAGCAACCTGCACCATTTCTAAGGTCTTTTCTGCAAAAAGGAGGGGTAGATACAAATTAAAGCACTATTGTGGGAGTGGGGAGAAATGGGCAGTCACTTCAGTGCATTTCATTAGAAGTTGCCTACCAGAAATTTTTGACAAAGATTTTGAAGGCCTCCTTGGGGGCTAAGAACTTTGAGGGAAACAAAGAAAGAAAGAAAGTTAACTGAAGGCCCCAGTCACATGGGAGGTTTTGGCCCGGAAGAGGGATGGATCGGGGGCGCAGCAAACGGGCGTGATCACACCGCAACATCTGGGAAACGGCGCACACCCGTCCCCAATCCGTCCCTTCAGGCCGAAAACGTGAATTTTTAAAAAAATCTAGGAAATAGTAGCACCTACCTGAAACACCGCAGCAAGCGCGGCCGTGGGATCGCCAGCGCACCCGTCTTCAGGAGCATTCGAGGCTCCTGGCCGAACTGCGCATGCGCACACATGCGCAGCCGGCTGCCTCGCTCTCCCTTCTGTGGCTTCCCCCCCGGCATCTGATCGTGCCGGGGAGCAACTGCGCGGCGGCTCAGGGGATTTGTCTGATCCCGCCGCCGCGTGTCTTTTTTGGTGCGGCTCTAAAAAACCGCACTTTGGCCGCGTCAATTTCCCCCGTGGGGCCGAAAATGAGCAAATTTCTTATTCTGGATGGGTGAAGCTGTCCAATTTTGCCTAAAAGATGAATAGGGGAGAAGCCTAAACATTCGCTGAGTGTTCCTAATTTTTGACCCCTACACAGCTTGTTCATTTAGGATTGTCAATCTCCAGGGGGCACCCATCTTCAATAACAACTGATCTACAGACAACAAAGATCATTTCTCCCGGAGAAAACGGATGCTTTGGAAGGTGGACTCTGTGACTTTAGACTCTACTGGTCCTCCCCCTAAAACCCTGCCCTCTCTAGGCTTCAGGAATTTCCCAACCCAGAGTGGGCAACCCTATGTTCAATTCCAGGCGAAGCAAACCTTTAGTGCTCATTCCTGCCCGTCACAAGTTCAGCAGCGCTTCCTGGGGTACATTGTGAGTACATCTAAGCTGAAGAGGCCCCAGTTGTGACATACAGTCTATTGAAGGTACTGCCATCATTGGAGGTTTCTTTTCCTTTACCTCAAAGGCATTTTTGCTTATACCTTGGGAAATACTAATAGTGTGGTAATTGTTACAGCCGAGAGCTAGACAAAGGCAAAAATCAACTTTAACATAAACAAAGTCTTCAGGAATCTGGATTTATGATATCTGGATTTATGATACCTGTACTTGATTGAGCACCGTTGTTTTTAAGTTTTATTATAATTATTGTTTTATATGTTTTAATTATGGCACGGCTAATTACCTTGCCCTCGTTAGCTGCCCTGAGGGTGGGATACAAATGTGAAAAATAAATAAGAGGAATGAAAAGAAATTATCCCTAAAAACTCTCTCTCTCTCTCTCTCTCTCTCTCTCTCTCTCTCTCTGTGTGGGGGGGGGGACGTCAAATTGCTTCCAATTTAGGGTGAGCCTATGCATTAATGTCCTCCAAAATGTCCTGGCGTTAACAGGGATACAGTGGCTTGTCTATTTTTGCTCAACATGCACCTTCCTTGGCTTTTCAACCAAGCCTTTCAGGCGGGTTTCCCTTCACTGACATCTCTTCAACTTCCCATTTCTCCAACGGCCTCTAACCGACAAACAGCCTTGGAATGTTTAAACTTCAACCAATCAGGTGCCTAGCTTTCCCCAATGGACCAATCATTGGCAAGCCAAGCAGTAACCCATCCCCTTTCAGTTCTAGCCCCCTTCTTATAAACTCCGTCTCTCATCTGAAATTTTTAATTAATCCTTTTATACCTTACTTTGGGTTGCTGAAACTAAAACCCTCATTTTGTTACAGTGATGGCCTGTACTGTGCCTTGTCAGGTAGAAACCAAGAGATTGTGCTCACACTTTAGGGTTATCATGTCCCCCCGGCAAGGGATGGGGGCTAGGGTTGCCATCTCCAGGTTGGGAAACTCCTGGAGATTTGGGGATGGAGCCTGGGGAAGGCTGGGACCTCAGTGGGGTGCAGTGCCACAGAGCCCAAGCATCCATTTTCTCCAGAGGAATTGATCTCGGTGGTCTGGAGGTGAGCTGTAAATCTGGGGGATCCCCGGGTCCCACCTGGAAGCTGGCAGCTCTATTACACTTCCAGAATGCTGAGGTAGTTAGCCAAGTCTGCCACTCCCCCGTTTCCATCCCCCTCCCTGTTTTACAACACATCAATATCTGTCTGGTTGCCAACCTCCAGGTGGAGCCTGGAGAGCTCTAGGGTTACCAACTGCCAGGTGGAGCCTGGAGATCTTCTGCTATTACAACTAATCTCCAGGTGACACAATATCAGTTCACCTGAGGAAAATGGCTGCTTTAGACATTGGGCTCTAAGGCACTCTGCCCCAAACCCTGCCCCCCTCAGGCTCCCCCTCCCCAAATCTCCAGGTATTTCCCAACCTGAAGCTGACAACCCTACAGATCTCCCAGAATTACAACTGATCTCCAGACAACAGAGATTCAGTTCCCCCTGGAGAAAACAGCTGCTTTGGAGGCTGGGCTCTATGGAATCGTATCTCACTGAGGTCCCTCCTCCCCCCAACCCCCACTCACCCACCCACCCAGGTTCTACCCTCAAATCTCCAGGATTTTTCAAACCCACAGATGGCAACCCTAACAAAACAGGTTTCCCATTTTCTCCAGCAACTATGAGTAGGAGATAGGACTGTGGCAGAACATTTTTTTAAAAAAGCAATTGCTTTGCTTGAGCAGACCAGGTATAGCCTTAGTGCCATATCAGTTCTCACTCTGCTCAGGCCCGGCCAGACTTAAAAAAACAAAACAAACACACACACAAATGAAAATATATGTGTTAATCTCTTTCAACAGTTAGAAAAAGAAACGAGAGCCCTATGTACACAGGGTTGCCAACCTTTAGGAGGGGTTTGGAAACCTCCAGGAATTACAACTGATCTCCGGATGACAGAGATCAGTTTCCCTGGAGAAAACTGCTGCTCTGGAGGGTGGCATTAGATCCCACCGAGCTCCTCCCGCCGTGGAATCGGGCCCTGGGGGGAACTCCGCCCCCCGAGGTGACGCAACCACGTCGCTCACGTTGGGGACGTGGCCCGGATCGTCGGAGGGAAAACTCTATGGTTTTCCCTCCGTCGATGGCCACGCCCCCAACGTGATCGACGTAGCGCGTCACTTCTGGGATCTGCTGGCAGCGCGCGCGCATCGGAGACGAACTCCCAGAGCCGAGCGACGCTCCCCCGCCGGTAAGTTTATACAACTTGGCAACCCTAGCTGGCAACCCAATATGTACACACTTAAAATGGACTGATAGTAATGTCCTCTTCCCCAAGGAATCCTGGGAACTGTAGTTTTAGGGACACTAACAAAGGCTTCTCATCACCCTCACCAAACTGCAGTTCTCAGAACTCCTTGAGGAAAACTACAACCTTTGTATGTATATTAGTAGTGTTGATATGGAGACAGAGAACTTGTGTAAAATAGGCACAATTGTCTCAAATTATCTGCCTGAGAAGAGAGAAATATGCCGTCATTGAAGGGGGACAAAAAAGCCTGTGAAAGCTGTCACAATACGGTTCTTCAATTGAAGGCACTAGAAAGAAGAATCCATTTTCAGTCACATTATTTAATATAATTTGCTTTGTGGCTGTTGTTCTTAACCCAGAGGTCTCACTATTGCTCAAAAGAAAAGACCTGCAACAGTTAGGACACTCAGTGAGCCAATGTGGGAAATAAATAAATAATGTTAACTGGAAAAAATAAATAATGCTAACTGGAAAACCTCTCTCTTTAAAGAAGGAAAGGTAGTGGGAGGACCTACAGCCATATGCTAGAAGACTGCTGCTCCGGAAAGGACCTTCTGAGCGACAAAATGCAGCAGAGAACAAGGGTTGCCAGTCTCCAGGTGGTGGAATTACAACTCATCTCCAGATGACAGAGATTAGTTCCTTTGGTGAAAATGGCTGCTCTAGAGAGCAAACTCTACCCTCCCCAGGATCCACCCCCAAATCGCCAGAAATTTCCCAACCCAGAAATGGCAACCGTAGAGGGAACCCAGAGAGCGTAACCGGAAGCACCAATAAAGCCGTACAACACCTTGTATGGCCACCTTAGTCCTATTGTCAGAACAGGCTGGACCACTTCAGAATGAAGCAGATTGTCTGGACTCCACTCTGGTTTCAGGGCTGTTTATGGAACTGAAACCTCCTACTGGACAAACAGGTGTCAGTGGTGCCCAGGGGTGTCCTTTACTGGCTTTGGCGGTGAACCCACTGCAGCCCTTCCTGGGCAGGAAAGACAATAGCTAGATTAGATATGGCAATGTGCTTTACGTGGGGCTGCCCTTGAAGACTGTCCAAAGGCTACAGTTGGTATAGAGCGCTGCCGTCAGAATGATGACTGGAGAAGGTCATATGGATCATATCACGCCAGTCTTGTTGGCTCCCGATTTGCTTCTGGGCCCAATTTAAGGTCCTGGTATTGAATTTATAGCCCTATACGGCTTGTGGCCAGCATACTTGAAGGACCTCCTACTCTCATAACCTACCTCACCACCCCAGCTGTGTTTGGAGGCTCTGCTTCAGGTGCCCCCTCCATCTGAGGCTAGACAGCTAGCAGCCTGAGGATAGCCTTCTTCGTTGTGGTTGTGGCCCCAAAAGTTTGGAAGACCCTCCCCTGTTGTCTTCCGCAGAAGAAGCCTTTTTTGTTGCTGTTATTTGGCATCCCCTCACTCAGTCTTAGCAGCCCTCCTCCCTGTCTGTGTGTTTTATGTATTTATGTTTCAGCGTTTTATACATTTTAATGCCTTTTAATGTACTTAATGTTTTGTTTTAAATGTTCATCACCTTGGGGATCCTGGATTAGATGGAAAAGCAGTGTGAATATTATATCAGTCTATCAATCAACAAAATGGGTGCAGCACTCAAGCAAGGGGGGGCACTGAGTGGAAAAAGCCTTTCCCTTACGCAAGACGCTTTCTGTCGGGGGAAGGCTCCTTCGGCAAGAGAAAAGTGCTTCTGCCAGTGGCACCTATGAAACTGAAGTTGCCCACTCTGTCCTGCACCCGACTTCCACGAATAGAGCACCACACCAATAGAGCCTCCAATGCAAAGGCCGTGGGGGCTCTTGGTTCCAGGCATGTTATTTGGGTCCACAATATAGTCCCAGAACCCAGACCTTGTGTGTATGTTTCGTAGCCCACAGATTCTAAAATGTGTCAGGAAATTTGTCAAATTATAGTCACGAAAACATTTATATGACCCTTTTCTCATGGCTCAAGGCAGTTTACAAATCCAAATATTTTTTCAAAAAATACAGTTTAAAAAAACCCCCAAACCCTCCTCCCTATAAAAACCCATGCTGCCTACACCCCAGGAAAAGCCCTAGCAAATAAAATGATCTTGCAGAATCTCCTAAACACCTCCAGAGCTGGCAACACTAGAGAACAAATGATCAACTTTGGCCCCGGTCACACGGAAGGTTTTGGGCCGGGAGAGGGACGGATCGAGAGCGCAGCAAACAGGCACGATCTCACCGCAACATCTGGGAAGCGGCGCGCACCCGTCCCCGATCCAGCCCTTCAGGCCGAAAATCCGCTGTTAAAATAAACCACCTACAGAGGTGGACTTACCAGAAAGGCCGCGGCCAGCGCGGCCGTGGGATCGCCGGCGCGTCCTTCTGCCGGCGCATCCGAGGCTCCCAGCTGAACTGCGCATGCACACACATACGCAGCCGGCTGCCTCGGCCTCCCGTCGGTGGCTTCCTCCCCGGCAACTGATCGTGCCGGGGAGCAACGGCGCGGCGGCTCAGGGGATCTATGTGATCCCGCCGCCGTGTGTCTTTTTTGGTGTAGCTCTGAATAGCGACACTTTGGCCTTTCCCTCTCTTCCTGGTTCGGCGGTTGTTCCAGAACCCTGTATTTATTTCCTTTCTTTCTCTAGCCACCTTCTGTGGAGCTTTGGGCGGGGAGAGAAAAGCAAAGAAAAAAAGCATCAGTGATTCTCAGAGTCAAACAGAGAATGATTGAATGACAGCACCATTGTCAGGGATTTGGGGTTTCTCTGTTGTTATGATTGATGGGAACATAAACAAGTCAAAAGGCAAGGAATAATCCTCATTATTCTGGTTTTAGAGGGTTTGCTTATTTGTTGCTTTTCTTTCGCGTCTCCAGTTCTGATGGCCTGCCGGGGACAAAATGAAAGAGGAAAACCAAGACTACAGAGGTATTAAAGATTAAAAACAGAATGATTAAAATCCATAAAAGAGCTCTGTGTATTCCCTCACTGCAGAGCTCGGGAGGCGTTCAGCATGTGAATTTTTAGCCAGTCTTCCGTTGACTGCGACTCCCCCCTGCCCCCTCCGTGCCACACTTTGCAAGCAGCCGACGACCATCGAGGAGCACGCATTTATCAAGGTCATCCACTGTAGACTGTGGCATCGTAACCCAAATTCAGATCCAGAGTGGAATTAAAGACTTGATTTGTATACATGCAGTTTAGCACCATGTCTTAGGAAATGTAAAGAGAGGGGGGGGGGGGGGGGGGGGGGATTGGTAACAGGACACTAAGCTTTTTCACTTCTAGGTCACTGGACGGAGTCGAGCTCAGTTGATTAATGGCCCACCAAAAGCCGTCACCATCTGACAGCTACTTGGACCAAGTCGCACAAGACAGCTTCCACTCCAGGCAGGCAAAACAGATTGGGGGGGGGGGGGGAGGAAGCACCCAAGAAAATCAGAGCCCAAAATGGGTCTCCCTCCAGTCTTCCCTCCAAGTTTAGCTGTGGATTCTAATGGTGCCAAACACCAAACATCGAACTGTAATGAAAGATTCTGTATTCAGTCAAGAGACTGAAAGCCTGCCATGGGACCATGTGTCCTACCCATCCTTCCTCTTGTCTTCCCCCGCCCTTCCGGAGTTGACTCCAGCCATGATATCATCTTGCATCTGTGCCAAGGTTAACACTAACCACAGTTAGCCTCTACCCAGGATCTGCAATCTAAAGGGGCCGTTCAGACACATTCCGAAGCGGTCAAAGTCAACACTGTGCAAATCCATTGAAGAAGCCTTCAGGATATTAAAACAGTGGCACAAATTAGCTCCAAAGATCTACTTAGACTACAGACACACCCAGTTTTAGGTCAATTTAATTTTCATCAATGACCACCTCCCAGTTCCTCCCACGGGAACTGTACCACGGTCTGACTCCGCAGAAGACAGCTGCATGTGAGTTCAGATTTCTCATGTTCACAGCGACAACGGAATTTCCACGCCATTGTTTCCCCTGCACTTTTCTTGCCTCTGTCCCTTGCTGCTACCATTTCTCCCTCCACCCCCTGGTGTTGCTAGAGGTCTACAGCAGTTCTTTGGTGATGTGAGGTGGGTGGGTGCAGCTACAGTGACTGAGGCAAGGGAAATGGCACCAATGAGGGTGGAAACAGCAAGAATGGACACCTTCCCATCCACCTAGCATTCAAAGGTGTTTTTGCCATGGTCTTTCCCAAAATAATGTACCAAACCAGGTGGAAGCAGGGAGACACAGAAGCCAGACAAAAAGAGGACAATATCACGGAGATGCTCCTGAAAAGAGTGCTGCAATAAGGAAGCTAAGGCGGGAGATGCCTAAACTGCTCCCCCAAATTCCCAGTATTTTCCAGGAAGATGATACAGCTAATAAACCAGTTTAAGCATGTGCTGCAGGTATGCCCATTCGACTTCAGAGAGAATGTGAGTCAGAATAAAAACTGGCCATTAAAACCTTGCATCACACGCTGGCTTTCTGGTTTGGAACCCCTCTCGTGATTTATCACTGACAAGTTGTCCAGAGAATGGTGTAAAGCATCACAAGGCAGGTGTTGCCCCTGAAGCTAAGCACCTGTAACCTACCTGAATAGGAGACAGCATGGCAGCCATATTCGAGCCACACCAACCATATCAGAGTAAGAGCAGCATTTGTGTAACAATTAAAAACAACACACACACACCCTGACCCTTCCGCTTTGCACCAAGGCAGGCAAACTGTACAACTGAGCCCTCCAGACTGATTTGACAAGTGTTATTGGGATTTCTCGTCTTTAGCTGGGCATTTGCAAGCGCTGCAAAAAAAGAGGGGGGGGAGGGTAAAACTGTGCCCAGCACAGGCCTGCAGGAAGCTGCTTTTGTGAAGAGCACCTCGCAGATCGGTAGCCCCGAAATACAACAAATGATAAAGTCAAAGCTGATGGGCACGTCTCCTGCCTAGGCGAGGAGTGGCAGATTAACCCTCCCCCGAGACATCTAATACTGACATGATACTCCACTTTGAAGCATCTGCTGCCTGATTCGATATGGCAGAGCTAGGTAGCGTCGCATTAAACAAAGCAATTAACCCAGCAACTGTACCAATCAGCCGACGTCTCACAAGTCCCCGTAATTTAGCACGATCTATTCTCAAGTCTCTGGCACTGCCGCTGTGTCAACCCAGTTACTGCAGCGCCTGTAAAAAGTTACAAGGAGGCCGTACGGGGATAACATCAGCCCCATTTCTCATGCTGAGAAGAGCTGAACTATGGCCAGATATGGCCACGCATTTCTTAACCCATCGGCCCCAGACAAACGCACTCACATTGCACCGTCAAGTAGGCGGAAGCAGATGGCGAGCGGCCGAGGCTGTTGCTTGGGATGCAGGTGTATTTCCCGGCATCATCCGGCTTGACTCGGAAGATGATGAGCGTCCCATCGATCAGGATCCGCACCCTCAGCTTTAGGTCACTAGAAGGGAACAGGAGCAAGGAGAGGAGAAGTGGGGGAAAGGATAGAGGGAGAAAAGGAACAAATACATGGCTCCGCACCTGAGATGGTCAATGGTAGGTCACGTTTACCAGTGGCCTGGACAACCAAAGCACTTGGCTGGGTGTGGAGGAATGTTAGTTCACAGGAGCATAGGCCACAGCTGAAGAGAGGGGGCTTTCTCATCCAGAACACGTCAGAGATTCACGAAAGATGCAGCAGGAACTCAGTTGCAGGCCACCTGATTCTGAGTCAGGGTTCAAGCACAGCAGAAGAGCTCCCTTGCTACGCACGTCAAAACAGTCCCAGCGAACAAACTGCATTGAAGAGCTTTAGTTGGCCTTGGATACCTTGACTGCCTGGTCAAGCGCAGGAAGTGGTTTATCTTGGGCGTGGAGCTCAACTGAATGGCCACCCAACACCTAGGGTGTCCTCCAAGATTTCTTCCATCATTATCTCCATTGACCAAGGCAAACCACCAAAATTCTCCTTCCAACAGGACCACACAATGTTACTACAAAGACAGCTCTCCCCAGCCCGTAGCTACAGTGGGGCATCTCGGGCGCCTGGCCCCCCCGACTTCCTGCCAAGGCCCCACAACTTCCATCCAGCCCCCGGGGGCCCCAGCTCTCTGGACCACCCAGAGGACTACCGACGGCACTCTGGGCTGCCCAGAGGACTCCCCACCACCGCTCCTTCCACAAGCGTGGCTTGCTTCCCCGCGCAGGCAGGCAGAGTGCGAATACCGCAAAAGTGAGTTTTTAAATTTTTTAATCTTATTTTGTGACGTCAGTGCCCCCGGACTTAATTAAAGGCCCCCCAAATTACACAGTCCTGGCTACGGGCCTGTGCTCCCCTCAGGTGAAAAGAACGCCAGCAGTAAAAAGGGAACAACTCACTGTGGAACAGTTATGTCACAATCACAGCAGAGTCTTTCCTCTGCCGGACAACAACTGTGCCAACATGCACAGGAGCCAGAATCTCACAGGAATGCAGAATCCAGGCGTGGATTTTGCAAGAAATCTGCGTAACCTCCATCCTCGTCCCTTTCCTTCTCAACAAAACCCACTCAAGTCTGGCAATCCCACCACAATGCTTCCTTGTTCATACCCTTCCAAGGACGTTTTCCACAGTGGAAGAACACTGCATTGGAACTGGGCTGAAAAGGAAGTCCCAGGGGGGTCAGCTACACTCGTCTGACTAAGAAAAGGAATGCTCTGAGTCTTTAAGGACAACAGCTCTTCCCAGTGGGGCTGGATTATCGAGGATGCCAAGTGCTCCAAAGAGCGGAGGAGCTCCAATACATGGCAGCTCCTGCTGCGCTTTAATTATTTGAACTTCCCAGCATGAAAAGCATCCTCTGCTTGTTCCCTGAAGTAGATTTCTTGAACATTCTCCACCGCCTATCCTATGTCGGCTGTTTCCTTATCTCAAGACAGAGCAATACTGCTCATGTTTCCAGCTGTGGGGGAAATCATGAACAATACCGGTAATCTTCACCAGAACAAAAAGACAAATTATTTCCTGGAATGCAAAAGATTAGCACATTTAATTGTGGTTTTCATGGGATAAAAAAAAACGCACTTTGTCAGATGCATGAAGTGGTTTGCTACACTGATATGTACATGGTGAGGTCTTCTAGTAAACCAGGTTTTACAAATCAGAAGTCAGTCTTGGGAATCCAGACTCCCTCCTTCCTCTCTTTTCCTTCATCAAAGGATTCCCCTGTTCCTTCCCTTAACAATGATTTAGAGTTGCACGTACACCATTTACCACAGTTGACTCGAACACCCAAGGGAATGATGGTTAACAGCAACCAGGGTGGTCTCAAAAGCAAAAACCTGCAGCCGGCTTGCAAACCATGGTTACAAGGAAGCCTGACATTGGTTGCTATTTACTGCTGAATCACATTTTGCTCTGATAAAGGATGAGTGAATTTGCTCTGGAAGGGCAAAGCCACTCCCAAGGCCAGCTCCAGGGAGGGAAGGCAGACCATCAGTCAACAGAAGCTAACAAGGATTGGTACTTGAATGGGAGACCACCAAGGAAGTCGATGCAGAGGAAGGCAATGGCAACCCATCTCTGCATCTCATTTATCTCGAAAGCCACTTGCTGGGACCACCAGAAGTCGACTGTGACTTGATGGCACGTGCCTACGTGACACCAGCTCCTATTCCAAAAACTGAGATTTGCAGGAAGCCAAATTGATACCTGCATACAGCACCTATTTCACATTTCTGGGATGACAAAAGAGCCTTTACCTGGAAATGAAGGCACTGAGACATGTGCTGAATGAATACATCTGGCTTTGACATTTCCCTTCGGACCTGTTAAAAACATTTGCTACTAAAAGTCAACATTCACAAAGTTCCTGACATTTGTGGTAAGATATTCATGTCATTCCAGCTACGTATCACACGCCCCAGTTTTGGTAACCAGGCATCTAACGAAACAACCTTTAGGCTACATGACATATGCTTATGGCACAATAAATCTGTTAGATTTTAAGTAGCCACAGCATCTTCTGCCGTCCAAAGGTTTCGTCACAGGGTGAGATGGACAGTAAGTGGGGCTGCGAACATATAACTGTAGCTCTTGTACCTGCTTTTGTACATGAACAGCAGCAATTGAGAATGCACAGGTTACAGGTTCAGGACAAGACAGAGGCCCAGAATATCGCTGAACCGCTGCCCCAAACAATCTCCTTTAATCTGTTCTCTGCTGCTGAGCTGGCAAAGAAACCCCACAACCCCGGGCCTTAGCTCACTTCTTAAAGTAGACGTTCTCCTCCTCCCAGTACCAAGTGTAGGTCAGGTTGCCTGGATATGCCTCGGCCTGGCAGGTGAACATTGCATCCTGGGAGATGTTGACTGTGATGTTCTCTGGAGGGGAAACGATGAAAGGCGGCCCTGCGGGAGAGCGGAAGACAAACAGTTACCTCAGCCTCTGAAAAGGAGAAGATGAGCTCATAGCCCGGCACGCACAGCAATGGCGCAGGGAAGACCAAGACGAAGAACAGCTGAACAGGCGCTGCCATGGAATGAGAGAGAACCTGCCTCCCCCAACACAAGCTCAGCATTCTGGCCAGGTCCCATGAGGCAAGGAAGCCATTCCCATAATTCCCCTTTCCAATGATAGGCCGGCTCAAGCTGTAGTGCTGGGTTCTTTGAAAACTAGATTACCCACTAGCCTTTTCCAGGAGGCAGCACAGTAGTTACAAGGTAAAGGTAAAGCTAAAGGTTCCCTTGCTCGAAAGCCAGTCGAATCCGACTCTAGGGTTGCGGTGCTCATCTCTGTTTCAAAGCCGAAGAGCCAGCGCTGTCCGAAGACGTTTCCGTGGTCATGTGGCCGGCATGACTAAACGCCAAGGCGCACGGAACGCTGTTACCTTCCCACCGAAGTAGTACCTATTTATCTACTTGCAATTTCTTGCTTTCGAACTGCTAGGTTGGCAGGAGCTGGAACTAGAGACGGGAGCTCACTCCGTCATGCGGCACACTCGGGTCTCGAACTGCTGAACTACCGACCTTCCCCAGCCTGCAGTTCAGCGTCTTAACCACTTGAGCCACCGCAGCTCCAGTAGTTACAAATCTAGCCCCAAATTAGGAAGTCGTCCAGCTCAAATCTCAGCTCGGCCACAGGCTTGGTGATTTGGGCAAGCCCTTGTGTCATAGCCGTAACCTTCCCCCATCCCCATGTGCAATACCAAGGTAATACTGTCCTACCATACAAGGGTGTTGTAATGTTCACAGATATGCTACTATGTGAACTGTGTAAGATGCTAAAATGCTTTATTGTTCTTATTACTACTACTACCACTCCAATTTCTGAGTCTGGCAAAGGACTGTTTTTAAAGTGTTTTCCAGATGTAAAGCAGTTACTGCAGGAATGTTACAGCAGCAATTAGATTGGGCCCCAGAGCTAGATGAAGCTGCTTTGAGCCAAGAGGAAAGGCCCCACATATGCAAATAAATAAATACTTAATAAGTAAAGCGGCGATCCTAAGACCCGGAAGTTGATCCATCAGATCGTCAGAGCTCCATAGGAATCTCAGAAGCTGTATTTCTTTTTCTCTTCCAAGCCTCAAGATGGTGAAGACACCGTTGAACACTCACAGACGGGAGATGCGAAAGGTGCAAAAATGTCCACATCCTCATTCCTGAGGGCCCTAGCTGATTTTACCACAGTCGGCTCTATAATGAGGTGACCTGAGGTGGCCGACCCACTTACCACTTCTGGGGGCACCAACGCCCTGTCCTACTTAGTACTCGCACTACTGTAAGCCAAAAGCCCTGAATTCCTACCCGATTCCTCCGCCTCGTCAGAGCTTACCTACCGTTCCTTGGTCGCCATGGCAATCAAAATGGTGGCCGCACTCTCGTGAGAGGAAGGAATCACGCAAGAGTTCAGGAAGCCCTATAGGGAACTGGGGACTTGTCACATTTTTTAAAAGACAACAGAGGCAGGGAAAAGGTGCTGGCACCAGTGGGGTGTGGGTAGGGTTGTCATCCTCCAGGTGAGGCCTGGAGATCTCCCAGAATTACAAGTGATCTCCAGATTACAGTGATTAATTCTCCCGGAGAAAATGGATGCTTGGGAGGGTGGGCTCTACGGCCTTATAACCCGCTGAGCTCCTTCCCCAGGCGGAGCCCTCCAAATCTCCAGGAATTTCCCCAGCCCAGGTAACCCGAGCTAGAACCCGCTTATTTGACTTTCTCCCAGTCCACGTATCTGTAAACCTCTCCTCTAACACCAGATTTCAAATTAATTTTTTTTTCTGGTCAGCTTTCTTGAGGGATATTTTTAAAAACAATTTTAAAAATAAAATACACTGAACAGCATGGTGAGAAGCAAGCAGTCCAGCAGGTGACGCTTCCCTTAGCCTGCAAATGAAGAGAGCTTCACCTGTGGAATGTCTTCCTGTCATTCAGCCAATAAAAAGTCCAGGAAGCCTGCCAGAAAAGAAAAGGGGGAAAAAACTGGCAACCTGACTTTTTACAGGTATATTGAGGGCTAGCAATATCACCCAGCCAAGGGATGCTAAGAAAGGAAAGTGTGTGTCAGCAAGCCCCTATGAGGCTGTAAACTTTGCCTGTAAAGACTTAACATTATTATCTGTAAACGGTGCAGCATCCCACAGGGGGTGTGAAATCCTAAACGGCACTCTCCAGAGAGCAAAAGTCAAGCAAATACAAATGTCAGTGTGTATATGTTATACACATAAAGAGCAGAAATGGAAGGAAACATCTCACTAAAGATAAGGCAAGGTTATTTTCCCTCCACAGAGTATTTTTATTGGGGGGGGGAAGAAGAGAGATTAAAATGTGGAACTCCCTGCCAGAGGATGTAATGATGGCCACAGGAATAAAAAGCTTGAAAGAGGGATTAGATAGATTCATGGAGGATAAGTCTATCAATGGCTACTAGCCATGGTGACTGAGGGGAACCTCCACATTCAGAGGCACTAAGCCTCTGAATCCCAGAGCCAGGAGGCAGCATCAGGGGAAGTCCTTGGCCTCGATGCCCTGTTGTTGGCCGTCCAGAGGAACAGGTTGGCCACTGTGTGAGACAGGACGCTGAACTAGACGTTTTGGCCAGTAGGCCAAAATAGCATTTCCAGAAGAAAGGAGTGTTACTACTTTTTTGGGGAGGAGGGGGTAACTACTGAAAAAACATATCCAGAATACCTGCCACCCTCAAGTGCAACAATGCAGGCTCTCGGAACAGGCAAATGCTGGGCAAACACCAGGTTGAGCCTGGAAATCCCCCAGAATTACAACTACCTCCAGACTAGGGACCGGTTCCCCTGAAGGAAATGGCTAACCCCACTGAGGTCCCTCTCAAAACACCCAGGTTCCACCCCCCATAAGTCTCCAGGAATCCCCCAAACTGCAGTTGGCAACCCTAACATATAGGTAGAGACAGTCCTACAGAGGGCATCAGGATAACCTATCAACAACACCAGCTATAACAGATGTGAGACAACACAGCCGCCCTGTCCACCAGCCTACAAACTGAGAGTCTGTAGCCTCTCTCCCCATTAGTGGCCTGTCCGCCTGGACAGAAGGGGACCCCACTCACTGGCAGCTGCTGTGCTTACAAAAAAGACCCTCCAAATCCACTTGCTGAGTTGCAGCAACAAGCCTAGCTAGGGAACTTCTGTGGAATTCTTTCTTCCCTCTGTTGCTTCCTTCTCTTCCTCAGCTCCATTTTTAAGATGTTAACTTGCAAATTCCTAATGGTCAACTGCCCTGATTCTTAAGGCTAGGGAGGGACAGAAATATGAATCAATACATAAATAACAGCTCAGACGCTGCCAGCTAAGCAAAGGGGAGGGGAAGGGAACGGGGGGGGGGTCGATACTACATGCAGACACAGCCAATCAATATGAAATCTCTCCTCCACCCCACCCGCCCAGACAAGGTTAGTTTGGCTTCCTTTTGTCTCAAGAACAAGACGATCGAGCCTTTCTCACCAATTTGTCTTCTTCGGGCCTTTCAGCTGCGCTGGCAGCCTTCAGCGTTATTTAAATGTCTGGGGTTTGGACTTAATTCCCTTGTTTACTTATTGATGGCTTTTAAAAAATGGAAGGTTGGAGGGGGGGGGCTAGCTTTCTGGGTAGACGTTGCACGGTAACTTGCAATAGGTAACCTTCAACAGAGACCATTACGTTCTCCCCCTACCCTTTTTGTTGTTGTTGTTCAGTCGCACAGTTGAGTCCGACTCTTTGTGACCCCATGGGCCAGATCATGCCAGGTCTTCCTGTCTTCCGCCGTCCTCTGAAGTTTGCTCAAATTCATGTTCGTTGCATCGATGACACTGTCTGACCGTCTCATCCTTTGCCGTCCCCGTCTTCTTTGACCTTCAATCTTTCCCAGCATCAGGGTCTTCTCCAGTGAGTGCTCCCTTCTCATTGGGTGGCCAAAGTATTTGAGCTTCAGTTTCATTATCTGGCCTTCCAGGGAACAGTCAGGGTTGATTTCTTTTAGGATTGACTGATTGGATCTCCTTGCAGTCCAAGGGACTCACAAGAGTCTTCTCCAGCACCATAGTTCAAAAGAATCTATTCTTCGGCGCTCGGCCTTCCTTATAGTCCAGCTCTCGCAGCCATACATGACTACTGGGAATACCATTGCTTTGACCATGCGGACTTTTGTTGGCAGGGTGATGTCTCTACTTTTTATCATGCTGTTTAGGTGTTCCACCCTTTTTTAGGGGAGTGGAAAAGTTGAGCCCATACAGCAGCATTGCTTTTTTTGTGTGTTATTTTTTCCCCATATGTGTGTGTGTGTGTCTGTGTGCGTGCGTGCACACATTTGAGTGTGTGTGTACCTGAAAGTCCGGGCGACCTCTGGTGACTGACCCCTACTGGGAGCCTGGAGGATATTAAAAGAGGTGGCTGAATAAAGCCTGCCCCCACCTCCCACCTCTGGTATTCCAAGGAAGTCTCCCATCCAAGTACTTGCCAGAGTCGACCCTGCTAGCTTCCGAGATCTGACAAGATCAGGTTGCCTCGGCTATTGAGGTCCGGGCACGCACACACACACACACACATACACACACACTTCTTAACCTTTCTGGCACTGTAACCCCTTGAGTCATTTGAAATGTGGTGTTGGGAGGAGAGTTTTACAGATACCATGGACTACCAAGAAAGACAAATGAGTGGGTTCTAGATCAAATCAAGCCTGAACTCTCCCCAGAAGCCAAAATGACTAAACTGAGAAGACAAGAGTCACTGGAAAGGAGAATCATGCTAGGGAAAGTCGAAGGCAGCAGGAGAAGAGGAAGACCCAACGTGAGATGGGTGGACTCCATCAAGGAAGCCACGAGGGCCCTCCCTTTGCAAGATGTGAGTGAGGCTGCTAACGAGAGGACGTTTTGGAGCAACTTGACAGCACTTC